CCTGCCTCAGCCCCCCAAGTAGCTGGGATCACAGGCACCCGCCACAACGCCCAGCTATTTTTTGGTTGCAGCCATCATTGTTGTTTGGCGAGCCCAGGTTGGATTCGAATCCGCCATCTTAGGTGTATGTGGCTGGCACCTTAGCCACTTGAGTCACAGGCACCGAGCCAGTCTAGGCATTTTTTAATTCATTCTCATCTTGGTAGCTAGAGTTATAAAATCAGAATATGACAAGTCACTTTCCTGCTTAAAGCCTGGTGGCAGCTCCCTACACCCCACATCTGGAAGCTGCCTGGAGCCCCAGGGTCTGGAGGCAGTGCCTTCTGTCTGTGTGTGCATGTACACAGACACACACATGCACATAGATATGTGTGCACACAGGCATGCACCCACACACATGCACACACAGGCATGCACTCACCAACATACACACAGGCACACACCCAAACACATGCACATAGGCGTGCACTCACACATGTACACACAGGCATGCACCCATACGTGCACACACAGTCATACACTGTACACATGTACACACGTGCACACTTTTCCATCCAAAATCTCCCTCTCTGCCTGTCCTTCCTGCCTTCCCCCTGCTCCTGGTCCCCTGGAGACCTGCAGGCCTCCTGGCTGTGCCCACTGGGCAGCCCCCTGCCCTGTTTGTAATGACCTGACCCCTTCATCCAGTGAGTTCTCCCCTCAGAAGCCTGTTTGCGGGAGGAGCTTCCTGGGCTTCCGCCAGCCTCTGTGGGAGTGTGCAAATTACTCAGTATGTCCCCCTCACAGGACACTCTCACAGAAATCTCGGAGTGGCTGGAGAAACACCCACAGGAGGTGGTCATCCTGGCCTGCAGGAACTTCGAGGGAATGACGGAGGACCTGCACGAATACCTGGTCACCTGCATCAAGAACATTTTTGGGGACATGCTGTGCCCCCGAGGGGTGAGACCAAGTGGACAGGCATGTCCTTACGTCTTGCCTCTCCTGAGAGGCAGGGGATGGGTGTGTCCTTTGTCCTGCCTCTCCTGAGAGGATAGGAACAGGTGTGTCCTTAGTCTTGTCTCTCCTGGGGGGGATCATAAGCCACAGCCTGCATTAGCTGACCATGCTGAGGTATTCAGGTGAGACCTCTGTGGTATGACTCCTGAAGTGTGACTGCTGATGTGTGACCACGAGGTGCGACCTTGGGGTGTGACCACTGAGGTGTGACTGTGACACTGAGGTATGACTGCTGAGGTGGTCACCAAAGCATTTAACAAGTCTCTTTGTGTACACTGTGAGGGTCCAGCCTCTCTGGTTGGGGTCCTGCAAATTAGATTGACAAAGGCAGCTGGGTGCAGTGCCTCACACCTGTGATCTCAGCACTCTGGGAGGCTGAGGCAGGAGGATTGCTTGAGCTCAGGAGTTCTAGACCAGCCTGAGCAAGAATGAGACCCCGTCTCTACTAAAAATAGAAAAACTAGTTGAGTGTTGTGATGGATACCTATAGTCCCAGCTACTTGGGAGACTGAGGCAGGAGGATCACTGGAGCCCAAGAGTTTGAGGTTGCTGTGACCTGTGATGCCATGGCACTCTTCCCAGGGCACAGATTGAGACTCTGTCTCCAAAAAAAAAAAAAAAAAAAAAAGAAAGAAAGAAAGAAAAAATGCTGACAAAGGCAGTCGGGAGAGAAAAAGAGTTTGCTACTCTGTGTGTGCACAGAGCCTCCCTGATGCACTGACAGCTAACTAAGCTGCTTTCTCACATTGGTCCCTGCACTGGTATAGACCAGGCTCTGTGGCCCTACAGACCCACAAGCCACCGCAGTGCTGGAGAAGGTGACAGCCTGTGCCCCTGCTCCCACTCATCCCCATGCCCAGCTCCCTCTCATCCCTGTGCCCCAGCCCTATCTCACCCCTGTGCCCCAGCTCCCTCTCACCCCTGCGCCCCAGCCCTCTCTCACCCCTGTGCCCTGCCCCCTTGCAGGAGGTGCCTACACTGCGCCAGCTCTGGTCCCATGGCCAGCAGGTACTTCTCTCCTATGAGGATGAGAGCTCTGTGGGCCGACACCTGGAGCTGTGGCCGGGAATCCCCTACTGGTGGGGTGACAAAGTGAAAACAGAGGCGCTGATCTGCTACCTGGAGTCCATGAAGAACTGCGGGCGCCCAGGTACTGGGGGATTGTCCTACCTGGGTGATTGTCCAGGGCAGGTTCTAGGCAGTGTGGGTGACACCCCTCTGCTATCTGGGTTCGGGTTTGCCTTTACCTTTAAGTTAAAGAAATTTACAAGTATAATAGGTGCTGTGTGTGTATGTGTGTGTGTGTGTGAATATATGCACACGTGCCTGTCTTCACGGTTGTGTGGGTGTGTGCATACATGTGTGTACATGTGTGTGCATGCGTGTTGATCCAAATACATGACAGAGGCAAAAATCTCAATCAATGGAGGTTTATTAAGTCAAGATTTAGGGGAAAACAAGAACCACAGACAAGCTTTGGCTGTTTTCCCATGGGGAGGTTGAAATCTTCAGCATTTTAAACACAACAAAGAGGAGAAATGGGGGTGGCTGATGAGGTAGTGGCTACAACCTGAGGCTGGAGAAATACATGTTTTACATGACACAAGGGAGCAAAGGGAGAAGACAGAAGAGTGTCTGACCCCGTGGTCTCCACTTCTGCTGCTGGAGAGAAGCTGGGGGTTTGAGCAGTGGGTGGGGTCTGGGCTGTGCCGACAGTGGACAGAACAGGGTGAATCTGTCCGGGCGCTTCAGGGGGGGCTGCAGTCACATCCCCCGCTGTGTCCATCTCTTGCTCTCTAACTCCGTCTCTGTCTCTCCCTCTATCTCTTAATCTGTCTCTCTCAATTGCTCTCTCCATTTCTTCCCCATATCTCTATTTCTATCTCTCCATAACTCTCTCCCCTCTTCCCCCCTCACCCTCTCTTCCCCTCCTTATCTCTCTATCCCCTCTTGCTCTCCTCCTCTGTCTCCCCCTCTCCCAATCTCTGTCTGTCTCCCTCCCCATGAAATTCATCATCACAATTTACTTCTGTGCTTCTTGTCAACTACACGGGCTCCTCCTGTGACATGGTCCATGTGACTGAGCCCCTGGGGCACCCTCTTCTCTCTCCTGCCCACAACCAGTGATGCTCTCTCTGGAGAAGTTCCTGCCCCAGGTCACCCGTGTGCTTGGTCCCCCAGGCCCTGCCCCCATGGTCTGCTGGCAGAGCACCTGTGAGGACCGGTGGGCAGGAATGCATGATTGTGTGTGCTTTTTCAGTTTGCCTATTTTCTGCTGGGTTTTCCTTTTTCTTACTGGTTTGTTAGACTTCTTTATGGAAATCTGCCCTTTGGGGGGTCTGTTACAAACATCTGCAGTCGCTGTGTGGAGGCTGGTGGGGTCTCTGCTTTATTGTATGATCAATTGGTTCAAGGGCAGCAATGTTTATTGATCATGGAGGCCATGGTCTCAAGTGCCTCCTAGCTGCCCATGGTCTGTGGGGCCTTCGGCCCCTCAAATTGTGTCCTTGACCAGCAACACTGACTGAGCTCTGTGTGCTGTTGCTGTACCAAGCTGAGTGGACAACTCAGCCCTTTCCCCTGAGCTGATGTGCTCTGTCAACACAGCACGTCCTGCAGTGGCCAGTCAGCAAACACCAGGCAAGGGGAAGGAAAGTGAGCCTCACCCCTGACCACCCCGGGGGTGGGTGCAGTGTGGGAAAAAAGATCCTTTTCTCGCCCCATATCAGGTGCTAGAACCCCTTTTCTCAGGGAGGGACACAGGGCTACAGGGCCCTGACCTGTCCATGGAGGGACACAGGACTGTAGAGACCTGACCTGTCCAAGGAGGGATGGAAGCTGGCAGGCCTCTGACCTGTCCAGGGCTGTCCTTCCTGATGCCAGCCCAGTCTGACCCACTGGTGTCCACTGCCCTGGTGGCTCCAGGTTTCTTCCTGGTGTGATGTCCCTATGCTTCCTGTTTCTCATTGGTTTGGGGACAGAAATGACCTCTGTGTTTGTGTCCTGGGGTTGGTCAGTGAAGAGTGATACAACAGATGGAGGGATTTGGGGGAAGAAGTCCTGGTCCCTGACCTTGATAGACTCTAAAAATCAGTGTGGTCCCACCTGTGGGTGGAGCCCAGGACAAAGCAGCCCAGTCCCCCCACAGGGAGTGAAACTCAGGCTACAGAGGACAGCAGCAGGACTCTACTCAATGATCCCCAAGAACACGATGCCTGGTGGTAGGAGCCAGACCCATGTAGAGGGTGTCCTGCGACTCTGTTCACACACATGGCAGGGAGAGGCAGCTCCACGGAGATGGGAGAGGCTGCTGCTGCTGGACAGGGGAGGGGCTGCTAGTGGGGACAGCCCCCTTGGAGGGATAAGAACATTCTGCAAATAGAGGTGGGGGTCGCACAGCACCCTGAGCCTGGGTGTGCTGACTGCACAGAATTGCACATTTAAAATGGCGAATTTTATGCTGTGTGAATTTCAGTTTTTTTAAGAAACTACCTGAGTGTGGTCGGGCACAGCCGCTGTGGAGTGCCACAGTCCTGGTGTCCACCAAGGGTCAGAGATGGTGCCCTGGGCAGCAAAGGGCCAGTCAGGACAGGACAGCACTAGGTGGTGCTGGCTGAGGTCCCCAACCTGGCTGTGTGTTCCCCAAACTCACCAGGGAACAGAAAGCCCAGCATCTGGGCAGCCCAAAGGGGCAAGTGGCTACCACCTCAGTCCCTCACACAAAGCTGCAACTCTAGACAGAATAAACACTCAGAGAGTCTGGGCCAGAGAAAACAGCGCTGTCCTCACTGCCTGGGTCTGTAGTCGGGACAGCTGAGTGGGTAACACAGTGCTCATCTGCACCTGAGGCAGCCTGAGTCACAATTAGGGCCTCCCTGAGGTTCTGATCCAGCAGGTCCAGGGTGGGGCTGAAGCACCCCACTTTGAGAACCACTGGTCAGGGTCCCACTCGGCAGGAGCCTCCTGTAGAGGACAAGGGTACAGACTTGGTACCTCAAACAGCCAATCTGTTTTTCTACTGATGTTGGAGCCCAGAAACCCAAATGGGGCTCACTGGGCTAAAATCATGGCGCAGGAGCTGGTCCCGAGTCAGCTCCAGCTCTCCCAGCCCCTGCAGCTGCTCCTATCCCTTGGCTGTAGCCACTTACCCATCAGCCTTTGTCCCCTTTTTTCTTCTCATACCTGTGTTCTCTTCATCCTCAAGTCCCTCTGCCTCCCGCTCATTCAGACCCTGTGACATTATTGGAACCACAGAGATCACATAGGACCATTCACATTTTGGGGTCCTTAATCCCACCTCTAAGGCCTTTCTCATCTGTAAGGTTATGTAGCTACAGGTTCTGGAGATGAGGATGCAGACATCTTTGGGGACATTATTCTGTATGCCACATGGGATTGGGACACGGGCATCTTTGGGGACATTATTCTGTCTGCCACATAGGACTGGGACATGGACACGTTTGGGGATGTTATTCTGTCTGCCAGATGGGATTGGGACGTGGGACAATAGTCAAGACTGTTGCCTTCTGTAATAAAATCTCCATAGTCTGATGCCTGCTGAATTCTCAGACTCTGCTTTCCTCCGGCAGATCTGAAACCCTGTGACGTGAGGATGAAGCCAGGCAGGGTTGGGGCCACAGGCAGTGGGATTCAGGGAACTCGGGAGCCACATAACCTCTGTGCTGCGTCCCTGTTCCAGGCGGGCTGTTTGTGGCAGGCATCAATCTGACGGAGAACCTACCCTACATTCTGGCGCACCCGTCTGGGTCCCTGAAGAAGATGACGCTGCCCAGCCTGCCACGCCTTGGCACCTGGGTTCGGGAGCAGTGCCCAGGGCCTGGCCCACACTGTACCAACATCATCGCGGGTGACTTCATTGGGGCAGATGGCTTTGTCAGTGATGTCATCAGGCTCAATGAGAAGCTGCTGAGGTGCTGACCTGGCCCTTCTGTGTCCAAGTGCAGGACTCTGGGGTCATCCTCCGCCCTACCGGGTTCTGCTGTCACTGGGCGGAATATAGGTGATGGCAGGGCCAGTGATAGTAAGTTTTCTTATTTCTGTATCCTTGATGCTACGGCATTTGGGGGTCCTACGGATGCAGGGACAGGCGGCCCCTTCCCAGGGCTAATTCCTGCAGACAATGACGACTCCTGCAGGCGTGTGCCCCTACATGCCAGCTGCCACCCTGCTTGTAATGCTCTCACACAAACCAGTATTTCCCCAGCCTTGAGTCCCCCAGGGTCGGGGGCCTGGCTACAGGAGGAGGCCACTGTGTCCTGAGTCACCCCACAGCCTAGAACACAGCCATCTGGGGCCACCTTGCACCCCAAGGCCTGCTGGTGCATCCTCACTGTCCAGGCCTCAGTGGCCCACCCAGCGTGTCCCGTGGGGACCCTGGTGGGGGCTGTGGCTGGCCTGGGGGCTTCCTGACTGCTGATCACAGCTGGGGGACATTTCTGGCATCAGGTTGTCAGGGGAGGGCCTTGAAAATGACTATTTGGTCCACGTTACAGTATGTTCCGTTTGAGAGCAGATCAGTCATTTTCCAAAAGAAAATCTGCTCATGTTCTCAGCCCTGGTCGCTGTGTTTCAATGAAGATGGCTCAAGGCCATGGGGATGACCACCGTAGGTATGTGCACCACCTACCTCAGACCTGTGACTCTGTAGCGTGGAGGTCAGCTCCATGCTCTGGAGGAGCCAGCGGTGATGAAGGAGCGTGAGAATAAGTCTGACCAGGCCATGTCAGCTATTCCCACCAGTAACTCACTTTAGAGAATTAAATAACATAAAGGTCAAATACATTTGTGGACTTTGTCACTGTCAAAACGACCAAGGTGCTTTTGGTCACTTTTGGAATCACACGAGGGAAGAATCTTTAGAAAATGTTCATTGGGCACTTATTGGAGGGCAGTCTTAAAAAACCCAGCTCTGGCCATCAGCTCTCCTGTTTTATTTTTGCTATAAAAATACAAGGATTGGAGGAAAGCTCTTAGTTGGGTTGGGGTTTAAGCTACTCCGTGGGGACATTAAGTGAGGACTCAGTGGGATTTTGGACAGAGCCAGGTCTGTAGAATGGGGATCAATGCCCACTTCTGCCCACGTGGCCAGGAGGACTTCAGGGATGCTCAGAGTTTACCAAGGACCCTGGCTGGAGCTGTGCAGGACCCTGGGCTCCCAGAATCATTTGGCTGGTCCAGTGATAGAGACCTGAAGGGTGGTGGGCAGACCTTCTTCCTGAGACCCTCACCTTGGAGGCTTTTTCTCCTGGGGTCACCCCGACTCAGGAACTGGGGAGAGGCAGGAGCTGGGAGAACTAGGGCCAGAGGCCACATCTATCCACACCCCACAGAAAGGCAATTCTCTTATGATGCCTTGTCCAGGGCTCCTTGAGACCCCTTGACCATCCCCTCTATGTTCTCGAGACCCCACCCCATCCTCTGGGATCCCCAAGACCCTCACTCCATCCTCTGAGCTTCTCAAGACTCCCACCCCAACCATCCTCTCCGGGCTCCTCAAAACCCCCACCCCTTCCTCTGAGCTCCTCAAGACCCCCACCCTGTCCTCTGGGCCCTACAACACCCCTCTGACCTCAGCTGGGAGTCCTGGGTGATAGCCTCCAGCTCATGGTCTCGGTGACAGGGAGGTCTGGGCCAGCAGGCTGGTCTGTGTACCAGGTCCTGTTGTCCACACACCCAGGACTCCCTGAGCAGAAATCTCCACTGCGTTCTACCACTTGAGGATTGGGACATGGACATATTTGGGGACATTATTCTGTATACCACATGGGATTAGGATGTGGACATCTTTGCAGACATCATTCTGTCTACCACATGGGATTGGTACATGGACATCTTTGGAGACACTATTGTGTCTACTACATGGTGATTGGGACGTGGATATCATTGGGGACAGTCTTCTGCCAACCACACCTTCCTGAACTGAGTCTACATGGCTGGCAGGAACAGAAGCAGACCTCAGGCAGGGTCTGGGCAATGGCCGGCCCTGAGGTGTCTGTGTGCACCCCAGAGCCTCACAGGTAAGGGGAGCCTACTTCACCCTGCCTTGGGAGGTCCATGTCCCTTATTTGGAGAGAGGCAGAGATTTTTTTCACTGTCCCTGAAGGCTAACATTCTGGGACAGCTGACACCTATAATGGTGAATATAAAACTAGGAGAACAAGTCAAACCTTTTTCAGCACCCACACCAAGGGACAGAAACACGGTTGGCATGTCCTCCACATTTCCCATGGAAATGCGTCACTGTCCAGGCTGCCCTCCTGAGATGTACACAGTCCCTACTCCCTGGGCCCAGAATGTCCTTCCTCGAGCTTAGCACCCCTGTAACAGGGGCCTATCCCCTAGCCTGGGTGCGGGTGCTGCTCTAAGAGGCAGCTTCCTGCTGTTAGATGAAGTTTATTTTTCATATTGGTAGAGACCGCTAACAGGCACGCGGTGGGCACACGCACCTGCGAGGGGCAGGTGGGACTCCTTGTTGGCATTTCTTAGCAGGCCTGTCCTCAGGTACAATCCCCACCTCGCCTGAGTTCTCCTTAGCAGAGCTGTCTTCTCTCTGCCATCCTCTGCCACCTTCTGTGCTGCCCAGAGGCTGGGTCTCTCGTCCTTTCTCCGACAGCAGCGTGGGGAAAGCAAGGCTGGCTGTGCCTATGTGAGGGCCATGGGACGGAGAGGCCCCACTGTGGCACCACTCACAGCCATGGTCACAGTCAGCCCTGAGGACCCAGGAACTTGGCTCAGAGAACCAAGCACAAATCTTCAACATCCACTGTGGATGCCTGCCAGGAAGGCGGGCAGGGCCCAGCTCACTTGGACAGACAGACTGCACCTGTCTGGAGCGGACACTGGCAGCTGCCCATGCTGGACAGCAGTGGCCGTGACCCCAGACCTGGGTGGTCACAGCCACACATGCCCAGCAGAGAACCAGGAGTTGAGCCCAACACTTCAGCAGGACAGCTGCCTGGGCTGCTAGGGGATGTTTTCATCCTGGGAAGAGCTTCCGGAACTTGCCATAGGCAGACTTGCTGATGATGATGACCTGCACTTCGGCCACCCCCTCCTCAGGGATCACAGCCACCTGCTGGACCGTCGCCTCCCGATGTAGCCAGCTGGGGACCAGGTGCATTTCATAGCCACCAGTGAGGACTCAGTAGACATGCTCAGCTTCACACTCAGTGTTGCTAAAGAGAACCTGGCCTGCCCCAGTCCTGCTCCCCAGCCCCTCCTCCAAGTTTATGTTTTACTAGTGGGGTTATGGTTAGGGGTGGGGAGGGTTAGGGTTGGGGAAGAGGTGGCTCAGGGTCAGGGGACAGTTAGGGTTGGGAGGGGAAGGTTAGGGCTGGGAAAGGGGGAGGGTCAATAAATGCAGGGTGACCTGGAGTCTGCAGGCAGCAGCAGGACAGAGACTTGCTGCAGCCCACTCTGAATCATCTCAGCTGGTCCCTACACCCTAAGATGATTGGGGTGTATGGCCCTCCCCACACACCTGTAGGCCCTGCTGTGCACCTCCATCCCCACGAGGCCACTCACCTGAGCTGGGCCCCTGCCAGGTGCACACGGAGGGTGAGCAGCTGCCTCCCTGTGGCTCTCAGAACTGCATCTTCCAGGTCTGCTTTCAGCTGCTGCAGCCCTGACCCCAGGAGGGCAGAGATGGCCACTGCGTGGGGCTCTGTGGGACTGTACCTGTGTGAGGGGAACACCACAATCTACCCGGCCTGGGGATACCACCCAGACAGGGTCCCTGAGTAACTAGGGTGGGACAACTCCTGTGGGTGGAGGCTGGGAAGACTGGGAGGGTACTGGCTGGTCACTGCACACCCCAACCAGGCACACTCGGGGTGAGCTGGGCCTTGGTGCCAGGACTGGGAGCAGGGCTGGTCTGGGTCCCAGACACACTTGGTCAGGAGTGCGGCCAGCACAGAGGGAACCTACAATCCGCTCTCCACCAGCCCCAAGCTGCCTACCAGTCTCAGACTGACTTACCAGGTCCCGGACCTGGCACAGCTCACCCTGACTCCCCAAGACTCCCTGGACACTTGACACAGCTCTGCAGCTGGCTCCCCGGGATGCCCAGCAGAGCTCAGCCTGACTCCCTGGCCCCAATTCCCTGCAGGCCCTGACTTACCCAGGTACTAGGTCCACTTTGTTGTGGACCTCCACCATGGTGTCCAGCAGTGGGCCGGGCAGATTCAGGCTGCGCAGTGAGGACAGCACACTGGCTTTCTGGCGCTCGGTCTCAGGGTGGCTGACATCCCTCACATGGAGGATGAGGTCCTGTGAGACACGATGGGTCTTGCAGTCAGAGTGGCAGGGCCCACGCCTGTGGATGGGCCCAGGGAGGGGCTTAGATAGCACAACAAGTGAGGGTGGGAGAGCTGCCCTCTCTCACAGCCCCTAGGACCGGCCTCCTGGATATCACAGGTCCAGTCCACAGGGGACCCTATGGACAAAGGAGCCTCTTGGGGTCTGGGCTGGCCTTACCTTTTTGTGAAATCTCAGAGAAAATCTAAGATGATTTCAGTTTTCAAAGTACACTTTTTCCCAAAAGCTTTCCAGGTAGGTGCCACATGCAAAATTTGTAAATTACAGAAAAGAAAAAACCCTGCGTGATTCTGCACCAGAAAGAGGCCCCACGTCCACTTTGGGGTATTCACATTTGCCTTTGGGTTTTTTGTAAATCTGGATACACTTAAATTTTTTTAAATCATCTTTTTCATTAACGTTTTAGACTCTTAGAAAACTTGCAGACAGGGGAGAGGTGCCCCACCCTTGGCCACCTTCCCTGTGGCTCCCAAATGACTGTGCACCTGCCACGTGGGCCCTCCTGGGTACCATCCTCACAAACCAACACTTGGCCTGAATTTCAGCAACATCCTCTCTGTCCCTCGGGACACTGTGCTGCCCAAAGTCTCCTCAGGCTGCTCTGTAACCAGGACCAAAGTCCCCAGGTTTTGTCTGTGTCGAAGCCTCTGGTCTCTGGGTTGTGTCTGTTGAAGCCCCTAGTCTCTGAGTCATGTCTGTGACCCAAGACCCACCAGTGCCTGTGGTTAGAGTTACGGCATGTGGGCTGCCCAGCGCCCACTCACCGAATGGGCCACATCCTCCAGGGTGGCGGAGAAAGACTCGATCAGGCCATGGGGCAGCTCAGAGAGGAAGCCGATGGTGTCCATATATAGGACAGTCATGTGGGAGGGCAGCGACCCAGCATGGGCTGTGATATCCAGTGTGGCAAACAGCTGATCCCGCGGTTGGACGGCCACATCGCCTGTCAGAGCCTTGATCAGTGTGGTCTTCCCTAGGATGCAATGGGCTCTGCTGAGACCCTGGTGTGTTACTAACCCCCATGCAGTGTGGAGCATGGGCAGCACCTGAGACCCATGTCCTGTAGCACCCAGGAGTCAGTCTGAGGTCCACAGAGTTCTCAGGGACCCTCAGACCCGACGGGAATAGACATGAACCATCTCTGCCTGAGCAATCTGTAGCAGGACTGCATGCGGACAAAGGGAGGCTGTGCTGCAGATGGGGAGGGACAGCAGTGTAGATGCTGTGAGAGCCATGCCCAGAGGGGTCAGGCAAGCACCGGATACCAGGTGGCTGTCTGGAGTACCCCATAATCCCAACAAACATGGGGCACTCACCGGTCTTTTCTGACACAGGTGACCCCAGTGGGCAGATGGCCTGACGCAAGTGACCCTAGCAGGAAGACAGCCTGACACAGGTGACCCTAGCGGGCAGATGGCCTGATGGAGGTGAGACTCCAGTGGGAAGACAGCCTGAAGCAGGTGATCCCAGTGGGCAGATGGCCTGACACACGTGACCCCATTGGCCAGATGGCCTGATGCTTGTGACCCCAGTGGGCAGACGGCCTGAAGCAAGTGATCCCAGTGGGCAGATGGCCTGACACCTGTGACCCAGTGGTTACATGGCCCGATGCAGGTGACCCCAGTGGATAGACGGCCTGATGCCCATGGCCCATGACATGGTCCTTGCCCGACTTAGCCGTGTGGATGCACACAGAAACCCTGCTCATCCTATCAAAGACACGTGCTGTTGTCTGGGCTGAAAGGTTCTCTGACTTCCAAGATTGGTTCAGCCCAGCAGAAGCGCTCTGGGATCCTGGGAAGTATGAATTCATATAAACATTTTCCTAAAGCCCAGCTGTCCCCCAGGTGTCCAGTCCAGGATCTAGGGGATGCCCCTGCCTGTCGTAGACATAGACCACCTGCTCTATGAGCAGGACCTGCTCTGGCCACAGTGTGTGTGCCCAGCACACAGTGGGCCCAGACCTTCCTGGGCTTGGCAAATGTGGACAGACAATAAGTGTGTGGTCAGCAGGGCAGGATTTTGTGCCGAGCATGTGTCTACAAATGGCCAAGATGTGTCAGGATTTGGTGGCTGTGAAGGAAATCCTGGTCTCTGCCTCTTGCATCTGATGTCACTGAAGGCTGTGTTGAGACATATCTTGAAATTTACAGAGAAGTTTTACTTTATGAGACCCGAATTGCTTTCCTTCCCTGAAGGTGTCTACTGCCTGTGGATTGTGAAATGCTGAGGTTTCCTTTGCTACTGTTTCTCAGAGATCAGAGAACCTGTTATAAAAAGCAAAGCCCAGTCCCCAGGATGCACCCAGCCCGCTGAGGGCTGTGTCCATTAGCACATGTGCGCATGCCCTCACTGCAGTTGGTGCAGCCCACTACGGACACCATGGGGAGCTCCTGCCACCAGGCACACTCACCACAGTTGGTGTAGCCCACCACAGACACCACTGGAAACTCCCGCCGTGTGCGCTGTCTGCATAGCAGGCGCCGTTTCCCCCGCAGCCTCTCCAGGGCCCTCCTGATCTTGGCCTCCTTCTCTCGCAGCACACGCTGCTGCACCTGCATGAAGGATTCCCCTGGAAATGCCCACAACAGTGAGTGATCGTGCGAGGCATGAGGGAAGAGGCAGTGTGAGGCTGCCTGTGCACAGAGGTCCCTGTGGACAGCTGCACTGAGTACTGCTGAGTGGATGGTATCCTCCTCCCCCCCACACTTTGCCCAGTGAGGCCGGGAGCATCTCCTGTTCCCAGTGAGATGCTCAGAGACGGAAAAGACAGCATGAAGGAGGGGGAAGATGTGACAGGCCTGTGCTGGGCCAAATGACGTCCTTGCCCTAACACCAGAGGCTTTATGTGGAATCAGGATGCTGCAGATGTGATTAGTGAGGAAGAAACCGCACTTGAGAAGAAACTACCCTGAAGTAACATGGGTCCTAAACCCAGTGGCAGGTGTCCTCCTAAGAGGCAGCAGAGGAAACACAGACACAAAGGAGAAGCCATATGGAGACAGAGGCAGAGATGGAGTGATGTGGCCACAAGCCCAGGGATGCCTGGAGTCCCCAGGAGCTGGGAGAAGCAGGAGCCTCCCCTGGGGACTGTAGAGGGACTGGCCCTGAGACACCTGCACCTCAGACTCCTAGGCTCCAAAGCTGGGAGGATTATGGATCCCTGCTGTTTTAAGACCCCCAATTATCATTCTCTCTTATGGCAGCCGAAGGGAATTGCTATGATATTCTAATTTGCCTGAATGTGGACAGAGACTGGGCAACGTTCAGCTCCTGACCGATTGGGATGTTCAAGGGCTGCCTCCTGTCCAAGGGCGACTCACTATACACATTCCCAAGTACCCTGCTACCCATCCTGAGTGCCCAGTGACAATGTTCTCAGGCATCCACACACAGTCACATCACCTGAGCCCATGATGTAGCGGGAGCCTCCTCCTTGGTGGTCCTGGTGGGCAATGTTGTTTCTCAGGTTTGACCTGGTGTGGAAATGGGAGCTGTTCACTGGCCATGCTGCTGCCTTTCCTGACAAGACTGCTGGGAGGGGTCACGCGCTGCACCTGACCAGCTGAGCTATGCGGGACCAGCCCTGCCACATCCCTCCCAAATGTGTACCCCACACTCTTGTGCACCTTACGTGCCTGTGGGCCCCACGTGTACAACATGAACAACAGACAGAAGGGCACGTTCGCTCAGTTGGACACCCCGCGGGCACCTGAGTAGGGGGATCTCGGCCAGTGCCACCTGTAGCCGGGCCTCTCTGGTACGGGCATGGCAGCGGAAAATGTGCAGGACGATGGTAAAGCGGTCAAACACCTCTAGGCCCCAGGCCGCCTCCAGCTCTTTCTGGAAGAGGAGATAGCAGGGCCTGGACACGGGAACTCAGCCTCATGGGAGGAGTGGGCGCAGGCTGCACTGTCAGCCTACCTCATGCTCCTCTCTATCCTCAGCATGCTGTATGTAATGTGACTCAGATACTCAGAGTGGCACAAAAGACATGGGAAATGATGTCACCCACCTTGGTTGGGGCAGCCATCCTCTCCACATTCAGGAAGACAGATGTGATTTCTGGACACCCTCTGATTGTCTCTAACAGAAGAAGGTCCTATCAGAAGCGGATCCTTCCTCACATGCCCATGATCCTCCATGTCCACTCCAGTGTCCTGTGTGACCTGTGCTGACACCTCCCTCCCCCGACAGACCCACCCTAGATGTGACAAGAGAGAGGGAAGGGGTAGGTCTGAGATGATCTACCTGTCAGCTGCTCGAAGTTCCCTTTGCCAAAGATGAGCTTCTTGGTGGGCGTCTTGGTGGACATGACCATTGTCTGGACTACGGACCAGCCATCCAGGGTGTGCACCAGTGCTGTGGCCTCTGCCACCTGCCACGTGGCTGTGGAGACACACAGGCTACTGTTAGGATACTGCCTTCCAGGGTGGGCCCTGGGTCCCAGGCCCAATCTGCACCTGCCCTAGCCCTGTCCTCACCTGCCCTGGCCCCATCCTCATCTAACCCAGGCAGCCTTGCTGGCTTCCACTCTGCTGACCTCCTCCTGCCCTGGATGTGGCCGTACCTGGGAGAATACCCAAACCTAGTATTTACTCCCAAACATGTTTTCTTCCCCCTGTGGTTTCCTAGGTATGAATCTGATGGAAACAGGGCACAGGAGGGTGGAAGAAGGAAGGTGGAGTCTTGATGGGTTCAGGGCTCAGGACAAGCACAGCAGGGACACTGAATGAAGAGCCCTGGAATGTTGTGACGTGCATCATCTAACCCACCCTCCACATGGGCGGACAGAGGCAGATGGGATGATGTGACAGAAGGTTCTAGAAGGTCCAGGGAAGCTGGAACCCACTTGGGCAGGCAGAGTGAGCAGAGCTCAGCAAGGGCTGAAACAGGGGTGTGGAGGCATGGCACAGGTCCCCAGCAGCTCAGGGCAGCCGGGGCAGCTCTGGGAGGTGGGAAGGCTGATAGTGACGGGGTGCAACACAGGAGTCAGGGGCATGAGTAGGAGCTGTCTGCTCCTACTCTCATCCTGCTGGTTCTTCCTCAGGTGACCACCAGGGATAGGAGAAGATTAAGACAGGAAATGGGCTTTGAGGCTGGGCTCTGAGGGAGACTCCCAAGGAGGGTGCTGCAGGAGCAGGGACCCTGGATACCCCTGAGCTAGCAGCTGAGCCATGGCATGGGCATAGACATCACATGAATGGGTGTGGGTTAATTCATGTGTTAACCCCTGGCACCTAGGAATAGGACCTTATTTGGAAATACAGTCTCCACAGATGTAATTAGAGAGGGATCCCAAGATGAGACCATCCTGGATTAGGGAGGGCCCTAAATCCAGTGACAAGTGTCTTCATTAAAGACAGCAGAGACACAGACACAGAAAAGCCATGTGGAGACAGAGGCAGAGACTGGAGTGATGTGGCCACAAGTCCAGGGATGCCTGGAGTCCCCCAGGAACTGGGAGAGGCAGGAAGGAACCTCCTCTGGGGCCCATAGAGGGAGCGGGCAGCCCTGAGACACCTGCACCTCAGAACCCTGGAATAGGAGGTGAATCCCTGTTGCAGATGGTCACAGCCCGCAGGACACTCACTTGCTGCCCATGATGCTGTGGCCACCCACGGCCCCCACCACTCCCTGGAGGAGGTGTCTGCCCTGCAGCACCCTATTTTCTCCTCCCATCTTACAACAGCAACAAACAACCCTTCCCATGTCCTTAGGAGTCGCCCCCTGTGCAGATCCCACTGTCCCATGCACTCCTGGACTCTGCTCTTCATGACAACTGCAGAGCCCCACACCACAGCGCAGAGGAGGAAACGGAGGTCAGGACACTGGCATGCACAGCAGGGCTGGTGGGCGGGTGGCAGCTGGGGGTCCGCGCCCATGGGTTGGGGCTCGTCCTCTTTCCCGTAGGGGACGCAGAGCTTCTGGGATCTGAGTCCTGGTGGGCTCCAGAGCCCTCCCCATCCTCTGGTCACTCTCCTAACCGCTCTTCCTGAAACCGCAGGCCCAGCCCTCAGGAAGTCAGCGCCCTCCTCCACGACAAACCCCCCCCCTCCCCGAGCTCCCAGGTCCCCACGCAGGTGCCCTCTCAGGAGTCTGGACCCCACAGTCCTCCCAAGTGTCTGCCCTGGCACTGAACACATGCACCTGCCCATGCGTGTTTATGACCGACGAGCGGTGGACACGGCCAGTGACAGCCCTGGGGTGACAGGTCAGACAGGGCAACTGAGGCAGCTCTGGGAGATGGGGAGGCTCACAGTGACCGGGTGCAACGCAGGAGTCAGGGGCATGAGTGGGAGCTGCCTGTGACCAAGTCTTTCTGGATCTTGGGCACTTATTTTGACCGGCCCGTGCCCTTTGCGGGGGCTGTGGGCAGGGCACGAGACCCTTGCCAGCGTCCATAACTCCAGCCCCTGCCCAGTGCAGGATCCCGCCCCCAGCCCGCCCCTGTTCCGGCACTGGGCTTACCGCCAAGGAAAACAAGGCAGCACGGCCAGGCCCCGCCCTACGCCTCCACCCAATGAGTTTCCCTCACCATGTAAACCCCTCCCCAAAGATCCTGCCCACCCTTCCGGCCCTGGGAGTCCCTGCCCCTCTTCAACTCCGCCCCTATATTTACAAAATTGTGCTCCTCCCCCAGAGTCTCCATCCGCGTATTTATCCACTGATAAATACTTAGACTGCCGTCCCGCTCTAAGTCTCCGCCCCCGCATCGCCCTTCAATGAGCTCCTTCCCTAAAGTCCCCGCCCCTACATTGCCACCCAATGAGCTCCTCCCCTCAGAGTGCCCACTCCTTCATTGCCATTCAATGAGCTTCTCCCTTGAGTCCCAGCCCCCAACCTCCATCCAATGAGCTCCTTCCTTCGGAGACTTGACCTAGAACGCCCCGCCCCTCCCAGAGGCGCAGTACCGATCACCTGTGGTCATCTGCGGTTTTCCTGGGCCCCACTTGACGTCAGGGTGAACCAGGAACACGCGCTGGGTCCCCGCGGGCAGCAGCGGGTCCCTTCTCAGCAGCTCCTCCTCCTCTTCTTCCTCCTCGTCCGCATCTTCTGGCTCCTCCTCGTCTTTTCCGGCTTGGCTTAGGCGGCCGTCCGCCCGTGGGCCCCGCGCTCCGCTTCCCGGAAACTTTCCGGGGCCCCAACGGCTGAAAGCGGCGAGCGCGGGCCAGGGCGGCAGCGGCTGCACAGCCCTCGGATTGGGGTGGCCACAGTTTACCCAGGGGAGCCGAAGCCGCTGGCGGACGGCGACCCGCAGGGCCCACATGCCGCAACCCCGGGAATGCGATGGGGCGGGGCCTCGGCAGCGCCGCGCGGCCCTGGGGGTCCCCGATTGGCTGTGTTGCAACACTTACTCAAGATCTGCCGGCTCGATTGGCACGAGATCCCCATTGGTCACATACTCTCGGATCTGCTCGCGCGGCCCCTGGACGGGCGCTCCATTGGTCACATGGCACCACGTGATCACGATCTGCGCACGCGGCTCAGAGCGGGTTTCCCTTTGGTCGAGGGTCATATGCTTGCGTCTTGCAGTTGCGGCCGGGGAGGCAGAGCTGTATGGTAGGTCGGGTCACCCAAACGCGCTCACTAGGGGTGGGGTCCGGCCTGGACCCCGCCCCGTGGGCGGTTCCGCGGGAGACGCGAAAACGAAGAGCGTCATCTTCCTCCGCTGCCGGCGTTCCGTGTGTGGTTGGGAGGCTGGCTGCGGTGATTCCTAACGCTTCTTTCGGGGTCTCTGAGTCTTTGTTGTGGTTTCAGATCCTGCCCTGCTGTCCTCGAGCCTTTTGTTGGGGTCCCAGGTCCTGCCCCCGAGGTTCCCGAGTCTTTACTGGGGTCCTGAGTCTTTGTTTTGGTCCCCAAGTGTGGTTTGGGGTCTTCAGTCTGGCCCCAGGGGTGGGAGAATCCTTGTTGGGGTGACGTCGGCCTTGAGGCTCCCAGGGGCTGGAGTGGTCTGGGTGCGGGGGTCCTCCCACTTCCAGCCCCAGGGCCCACTGTTGAATGGGGAGTCCACGGGGAAATTTTCTTCCTGAACGGGAGAAGTTTGCAGTTTTTTTTTTTTTTTTTTTTTGGCTGGGGCCAGGTTTGAACCCGCCACCTCCGGTATATAGGGCCTGTGCCCTACTCCTTTGAGCCACAGGTACTGCCCAACAGAAGTTTGGAAGCTCTTGTTTGAGCGTCCAGGAAGCCGCGGCTTTTCTAGTGCCCCACCAGTGGGCATTGGACCCCGTCCTAGGGATACCAGAATTTAGCTCTTAAATAGGTTCTTGATTCCAAGAATGAATTCGCTGAGCACAGATCAGTGGTAGAAGAGGATTATTTACATAAAAGAATACAAACACCTGTCACTCAAAGGAGTAGGGCGCCGGCCCCATATGCCGCAGGTGGCTGGTTCAAACCCAGCAGCCACCAAAAACTGCAAAAAAACAAACAAACAAAAAAACCCAAAGCTCCCAAGTTGGGAGAAAAAAAACTCGCTCTCTTTTTTTTGTCTGCCTCTGAGCGGGGCTCGGTAGTTACAGTTAGCGTGTCTGGGACCCTCTGTAGTTACTTTTAGCGTGTTTGGGTCGTGAATGATGGCTACAATCACTTTCATTCCCAGGCCTAAGAAATGGGGGAGTTCCCTGTTCGGCTGTAGGTGCAAGGGGAGGGAAACCGAAGGTGCTGGTGTCTCCCCAAAAGCTGTCTGGCCCCTCCGGCTACTGGAGCCTCCCCAACCCCCACCCTCCAGCCCTATGGTTCCTCTGCCTGCTGTGCGGCACCAACACCGCCAAGGCAAGGCAGCCGGTCCGCGCCCCCCACCCCCCCCACCTCTACTGAATTGGCTGGGACGCCACTTATCCTGTATCGCTAGGGTCCAAGTGCCCAGGACAGGCAGGTGATTCTGATCTGGACGCCATGTGAGTGAATCTCTTTTTAGTTTCGAGAGGAGCCAGGGACTAGATGAAAATTAACTGGATTTTTTGTTGGCTCCAAGTTGGCCTTGGTTTTTGTCGTCACTGGGCTTCCTTCAAATCCAGTCTTCCTTTTAGGGGAATAGTGGGGCTTGGCTTTCTGTGCTGTTTTTTGCATTTGTTGTAAAATAGAGGATGAGGGAGATGTGGGAGGCTGTTGAGAAATATGGTTCCAAGAGGCATCAGAGACACCGTTGTTCTTCAGGGTGGGTGCAACCTTCTGTAGGGGCTTGAGTGCATCAGGCATTGACACCGAGAGGTATAATGCCCCCAGTGTGGCAGGACTCTTAGCATTAGGGCCTTCCTGGCCTGGGCACTGAAGGATTGGGTCTTAACCAGCTGTGTGAGCTCTGTGTGGACCTGTGGGAGTGTTCTGTGCATCCCAATGACAGCAGGTGGCCCCAGAGAGGCAGTGTCTGAGCCATCAGCAAATAGGCATTGAGTATCTTGAGGGAACCCTGACTCGGGGACCTCTGGGTTGTAGGTGGACATGGGACTTGTACCCCCTATAGGAGCCCTGACTTGGGGGCACCTGGGTTGTAGGTGCACGTGGGCCTGCACCCCCTGAGGGAGCCCTGACTCAGGGACCCCATGCGTCATGGGTGGAGGTGGGGCCTACACCCTGTGGCCTGGAAGTTGCTGTCTCCAGCCCTGACTGTCCGTGGGGATCTGGCTCCTTTTGGGCTGTGTGTGGTTGTCAGTAGTTATGTTTGCGAGGTACACAGTGCTATAACCTGTTTGTGACTGTGACAGGTGACACATTGTGGTGTTTCCCATACAGTGTCCCCATACTCCTGGTGACAGCATCTAAGAGCCCATGTGCAGCTCAAGGCAGGAGCCCCCCAGCATTACCCCTGCCTCTCTGCTTCAGTGGATATTCAGCTTTTCTGGAGGTCCCAGGGTGTCCCTCTGCAGAGCTACCCAGTGGGCTGGGTAGGTGGGGGTCCTCTGGGAGACAAAGTGGTCTCAGCACCCCGTTTTCTCCTTACAAACTTCCAGCCCATTCCCTCTGCAGGTGCTCCTGAGTACAGAAACCCTGGTCTTCACTCTCAGCCACTCTGAATTCCACATGATCTTCACCGGCCTGTCCTCCCTTGTTAATTAAGGCAGAGACCCCAGGAACCAGCTCTTGAATGTCCTGAGGGACTTGGCAGGTTTGCACAACCATCAAGCTTGGGCCTGAGTCAGGGAGGGGCATGGTCAGCTGGGCCTGGGGCATTGGTGTCCAGACCCAGGGAGAGCAGCTGCTCCTTTCAGGGACTGCTCTATCTCTGGTCCAGGCCCAGGCAAGTGCTGCCATAGCAGGTGTGCAGACAGGTATCCTCACCTGGGTGACCAGGACACAACCCAAGTCACAGTGTTTTAACTGAGATGTGACCTGATTCTGTGCCTAGCCCCCCTGCCCCCCAACTTGGATGTTGGAGCACTTCTGGACACGCCTTCTGCATGCTCAAGATCTAGAGTGCTGCCACCAGTGCCTGGGGGTTCCTGACCCTCAGGGTGAGGGGTTCTCTCTACTCTGATCTTTAGGAGAAGTATTTCTCTTTAAATAGGCTTATAAAATGCAAGAATTAAAAGCATTAACAGTAAAGTACGGGATAGGAAAAAATAGAAGAGAGAAGTAGAAATTCTGAAGACAGACAAACCACATAGGCATTCATGCAAAACTGCGAGAGTGGGGTAAATGATCTTCCCTATCAGAATCCATTTCTAGCTTCGGTAACAAAGTACCACAGGCTGAGAGGCTTATAGACAACAGACATTCATTTCTCACTTCAGGAGGCTAAAGATCCCTGTGCAGTAGATGCTGTGTCTGGTGGTGACCCACTCCACCAGAAAGAGATAGTGCCTTCTTACTGTGTCCTCACATGGTAGAAGGGGCCAGGGGGTTCTCTGGGGTCCCTTTTATAAGGACACTGGTCCCATCCATGAGGTTCCACCCTCAAGCCCTCATCACCACCCATAGGCCCCACCTCCTAACCCATCACCTTGGGTGTGAGGGCTTCATCATGTGCATTTTGGGGGGACAGACATTCAGTCCTTCAGTGTTAGCTTTCACAGCCCAAACTACAGATGAATGGCTCGTGTCTCCTAAGCACCAAGTCCCCAGGTCTTCACAGTCTGGTTCGTCCACCTCCCTGGCTGTGCTGCTGCCCTCACACTTCTGTGTCCTGAGCTAGAGGTCGGGCTCAGCACCTGCCGTCTGTTCAGTGCTGCTGCCCATACCTCCCCCCTTCAGGTGGGTCAGATGCTCAGATGATCTCCACCAAACTTCTGAGATGTGAGCTGTCCTTTTTGAATGGGGAAGGACTCCCTGGCCCAGTTTCTGTTTTCACCTTTGAGCAGGTTGGACTGTTCCCAGGGTCTGTTTAGACCAAAGAGGGATTGGCCCAGACTTCAGAGGACAAGCGCAGACATGGAGAAGGGGGTCTCCCCTGTACTGGGGCGGGGCAGGCCCTCTGCTGGGGTCACCACACCTTGGTAGATATGCAGCTGTGCATGGGGCCTGGGTGGAGCCACTGGCACTCACTCAGGGTATTCCAGTCTCTACGGGGTCTGCTGGGAGAAGTCCCCTGTCCCTTCACCTGGACAGCAACCCTAGACCTCAGTTGCTCTGTGATTAAACTGAGGATGAGCCAGCACTAGGGTGGGGAACGGATACCCGTAGCCCCCAGGGCGTGGATGGCCTCCATCTGGCACTTGTTCCAGCTTCTGCCAACGTAGCCGAGGCCTGTGGACACCTTGGCATGGCCTGTAACGCTGTGGACCTCCATAGCAGCCTTTCCTACCCCATCTACCTCCTGGCTCCAGGATGTGGTCGGCTATATCCAAGGTGGGATTGATGGGTTGTCTGTCCCTGTCACAGCCCCAATGGGCCCCCATGCCCTTTTCAGTGCCCCCACATGCCTGTCCATGGGTGCACAGCCACCTTTGCTTCAGGCACAGGAAGAGTAAAAGGGCAGCTGGAAGACCAGGCAGCTGCTCCCCCAGCCTCAGCTTCCTGCTCTCCTGACCCATCCTGTGAAGGCCCATGTGAGGGCCTAGGGGCAGCAGCTGCTGGAAGCTGAGAGCTAAGGGTCCCTGTGGCATGGGAGGGGCTGTGCATCACCCCATTGTCTGCATCCAGGACTGTCCAACTGTGGGTGCTATCCAGGTCCATTTTCATTGCTGGGCAGGAGCCAGCATGGTGGGGGCCAAGGGTCGGTTGCTAGGGCCTTGTTGAGGGAGCCCAACTGCACGGGGCCCATAGTTCCTGCATGTCCAGGGCTGTCTCGGCTGCTGTGTGTCTGCCTTCACATCTTGCTCACGTCACTGGGGGGAAAGGCGGCATTGTCACACTAGGAGGACAGGTGTCCCTGGTCCACGGAGGGGCTGTCCTAAAGGAGCAGAGGACCCCTCCCATGGTTGGGCTGTGGTGTACCAGGTGCAGGGGTGGGGACAGCTGCCCTTGTGGGCAGGACTCAGGCACTTGATTCTCCCTGGGATGTGGGGTACAGAGAGACTCAGATAAGGCTCCAGCTTATGTCTGGTTCACTGTGCAGGGGCCCCCATTCCCTGCAGGTCTCCACTGTCGCCCTGTCCTGTGGGGTGCAAACAGACTGACCCACCTGCAAGAGGCTGGACTTGAACGTCAAGGGCACTGAGTCTGCACACAGGTTCCCCCCTACTGCAGGATGAAGACACCTGCCAGGCCTCACCCAGAGAGGCAGATTTCCTGGGATGGACAGGGACACCAGAGGGTGGGCGTGGTGGCTGCGTCTGTACCAGGCTGAGGGGAAGACCCTTGCACGAGCCCCACCTGCTCCAGACCTGGGATGCCAGCCCAGCTGTGGCTAAGGAGTCACAGCCTCCTGATGGCCACAAGCCCCTGATGGAGGCTCATCCTGCAGATGTCCTTCCTTGCCAGGACACTGCTGCTGGCTATGAAGGTTCCCCAAAACATCTTCTGGGCCCACTGGCAGACCCCTCAAAGAACAGAAATGCTCTGGGGCACTGCCACCTTCCTAAACCCAACCACACAGGACATGGGTCTCCCACCTGTTACCTGGGGGTGCTGCACACCAGGTAGGATGACAGGCCCTACCTGGCCCTGCAGCACCAGCTGCCAGTCTGGGAGACAGGAGTGCCTGCACCCTGTCACCCAAGGTCACAGTTAAGGTGGTCCAGGCAGGGCCATCCCCACCAGCAGCAGTATAGCCTGGAAGTCTTGGTATGTGGCTGAGATGGGACTTGAGAGTCTGGCCAGGGGCCAGGTGAGGTGCCAGGGAGCCCCCCGCCCTCCCCCATCCCCTGCTCAAATGCAGATTTGGGGAAGGTTGGGGGAGGCAGAGAATGTACGGGGTAGAGACCCAGTGGGGAGGTATAGGCTGGTGTGCCCCAGCTCCCCTGGGGGCCAGGCTGGGGCCTGCACTTTGGGCTGGGTCTTAGCTGGGGCTCCGGCAGGGCTCAGGGAGGGGCCTATTGTGGATGAGGCCCAGTCAGTGCTGGGGCACCAAGGCCCACAGCTCCAGCCGTCATCCCCATTACCCACAAGCAGCAGCGCTGGGCTCACAGGGACTCCCCTACATACAGCCATCACTATGGTTCCTGGCACCCCATTCTCACTTGTGATTCTTCCATGTCCTCATGGCTATCCTGTCCCCTCCAGGGTTCCAGCTCCCACTTTGTTTCCCACTCAGTGTGTGGGCACCTCCCCTCAAGTCATGGGGAGCCCTGACCATGCGCAGCAGCTGTGAGGGAGCTTGGCGAAACCTGCTGGATCACTCGTGTGTGGCAGAATGCACTGGGACCGGTCACCTTGTCCTGCAGCCACCTGGAAACTTGAGAATGTATCAAGGTCGCCTTGGAACCTGGGCCCCAGGAACGCCTGGATCCCAGAGTGCTCACCTCTTACTATAGCCCCTGTGGAACACATACCAGGTGTCTAAGGTGTGCTCACCTTGCTCATTGGAACCCTCAGACCTGCCCTGGTCACCTGGTGCCACACAGTCCTGGGAACACCCAGAAGCATCATGCACACGGGACTGATGCCCTGAGACCTGCCATGCCTGCCATCTTCCTGGAGGGTGGTGGGGTACCTGGTGTCCATCTGCAGTTACAGGAGCCCCTGGTCCTCCCTGTGTCACCCATTTGCCTGGAGACCTGCCAGTCTGACGAAGGGACAGCTCAGGACAGCTTGGACTGTGGAGGGAGCAGCCGAGGCTGGACCTGCCTGCCTGTGTGCCCCAGCAGGACTGTGTGTGAGAGGCTGGTAGGGAGGCACTGGGTCAGGTTCCTGGCAGGCCTCAGTCCTGCCTCCAAGCCCAACCTCAGGACTCAGCAGGAACTGCCTTGCCTTGGGAGATGTCTACGTCTACCAGGTATCCAAGCCTGCCCCTCTCACAAGTGTGGCTGAAGCATCCACAGCCCAGGACACAGGCCACATGTCCCTCTTTCACAGCCACGTCCTGGCTCATGATTGGTGGTGCCTGTGGTTGGGTGGAGCCAGTGGGCTTTGTATAGACAGGTGGCTCTGGAGGTGACAGGCCCTGTGTTCATGACACACAGCCACCTGTGGGTAGGTGGTTGGGGACAAAGGCCTCTAAGGCTGAGGACAAAGATCTATGCCTTGCCTAGGGGGTCACGTATTTCACTGCCTTGGCAGCTGGAATGTTCCCCCAGAGGGGCCCCTGTCCTTCAGGAGGGCTGAGCCATGACTCTGGGGCATCATCGTGACCCTCCCCTGCCACCACCCAGGGGGACTATGGAGGGAGCAGCTGCGTCTGGTGAGGGCTTGGCAGAGCTGATGATAGTGACAGCCCTGTAAATGGCCCCAAGTGCACAGTGTGGTGACTTTGCTCCTCTCCCCCCAGGCTGTGACGGCAGGAACAGAACCCATGATTGAAGATTTTTTTATTCAAAAATACAAACATGTTCACATAAAATGCTTTAAAATTGCGCCACACAGCAAGTCAGTCACCTTCACATGAAAACATTCAAAAAACAGAACTGCCGTGAGGACCCACCCTGCACTGCAGGCCCCAGGGACTCATGTGTCCACCTCAGGACGAGACCCACACTGTGGGCAGCACAGACCCTGTCCTGAGGGTCCCAGTCCCCAGTCATTCCAAGGAAGATGCCTGCATGTGGGTGAGGCCATGGCTTCCATGGGGGCTCCTGTCCCACTGGCAGGTGGCAACGTGCCACGCTTCCGTGAATAAATAAAAATTTATCATTGCAGATGAACGCATTTCACTGTCTGCAAAGGACAGTTCAACAACGAAACAGTTGTTTTCGCAGAGGCCACAGTGTGCATGTCACAGTAGCCACAGCACACGTGTCACAGTGCCTGTAGGTCGTCATCCCCACATGCGAGCTCATACAGGTCGACAGCACCAAGAGCTGTCGGTGCCTCCAGGCAGGGCCTCTGGGCCAGAGGGGACCGCAGCGCGCTCAGCTTCTGCTCCACAGGGCTAAGGTCAGCCTCATACCTGCAATGAGTGTGTTGGTGAGGACCTGGCCATAGGCAGGGGCAGCCAGGTGGGGGGACATTGTCCTCCTCCTTGCCTGGGGAGCAGTGCTGGTCTGAGCAGAACACACCCCAGTGAGCAGGATGTAAACTGTAGAAACACCAGGGAGGTCCCTGTGGGGCAGGTAGAGCCCTCCCTGGGAACCTGGGCTGGACCACAAGGCACCTTGTGATGGGGACTGGGCAGTGACCATTATCTGCCCAAAGATGAATGACAGTGCTTGTTAGATGGCAAACCCAAGTGCACATGGAGCTCTAAAAATCAGTCTGTCCATGCATGGCTGGAAAGAGGACAGCACAGGGACACCAAGGATGACTACGCAGAAGGGGGGACGTATATGCTCAGGCAAATTCCTCTGAGACTTAACAGTGGGAGCTGAGGCCTCCTTGGCAGCTCTGGAAACACCTACAGGATGGGGTGACACGCCCTATTGTGGCTCAGTGGCACTCTTTGCTTCTATGCAAGAAATATCACTGTCTCTCCTGGGAACACACACAGCCTCAGCACACAGGGCCCTTTTCCTCGTCCCACTGAGATGCTGCTGCTCCTAAAAACACTGAGGTCCCCAGTGCCACCAGCACTCACTGTCGATGGGCCTGGGCCACTATGAAGCAGGAGTGCACAATGGGAGTCCCTGGTGAATCTCACCCAATGCTGGGGAAGAAATGACATGTCTTCCACATACACCCATCCAGAAACCATGGGGAAGGCCCCTGCCCCTCTGCTGTGTGGCTGGAGCCAGCAAGACCACAGGGGAAGCCACAGGTGATCTCTGTGAATGGATCCAGATTACACATAAGAAGGGTGACATGTCATGACACATCTCAGCAAACAGGATAGGACGGGCCTCCCTCAGCTGGCAGATGTGGTCAGCATGAGAGTTGTTGGGACACTTCCCCGAGGATGGGGAGGAAGGACCCTCTGCTCTCACACCAGCCCAGCACCCTAGAGGTCCCAGGCAGTGCGCCACATGGGAGATGAAATAAATGTACCTGGAACACTGCAACAGAGTAAGACAGACCCGTTCAGGCAGTGAGAACCTGAAAGAGCTTTCAGAGCTAGAAAATGTTTGTACCACACATGAGCAACTGGAAACGAAAGTGAGAAAAGCACCTTTTGCAACATGAAAAAATTATGAAATACTCAGAGAACACTCTCAAAATTCACATAAAATCCATACATAGAAAGCACGAAATGCCAGTGCGAGAAGTCAGAGTGGGCCAGGCATTTGCATTGCTGGGATGTCACTGGGCTCCCATGTCAGTCTGTGCATTCATCAAAATTGCAACATTGCTACAGAATGTTTTTTAGAAATAAGCCTGCTGTTCATACATAAAAGCAAAGAAACCAGAACAGCTAACACAATGTGGGGGGAAGGGGGAACCACTAGGCAGGCACAGTGGCTCTCGCCCATAATCCTAGCACTTTGATGGTGAGTGGTCTGGAGTTGGACACCAGCCTGGGAAACATAGCAAGACCCCATCTCTAAAAAAAAAAAAAGAACTAGTCAGGTGTGTTGCTGGGGGGCTGTAGTCCTGGCTACTTGGGAGGCTGAGACAGGAGGATTACCTGAGCCCAGGTGCTAGAGGCTGCAGTGAGCTGTGATTGAGCCCCTGCACTCCAGCCTAGGGGACAGAGTTGAGACGTTGACTCTAAAAATAATACAAATTTTTAAAGTACATGGATGAAACCTGAGCATTCAACCACAATTCTGGATACTGCTCAGTGGTAAAGGACAGACTTCGACCAGTGGCCCAGACAGTACCCACCTGATCCCAGTGGCAGGGATCACCACCTGCTCTGTGGTTGATGCTTGTCCCCACAGGATTATGGAGACAGCAATGTGCTGAGTCTATAACACACAGGATGACAAAGCAGCCTGAGGGGCCCAGACAGCTTTGCTGGCAAAGACGCTGGAGGCTCCTGGCACGTGACGCCAGGGCTCATGAATAAAGCCACAGACCACAACACCACACAGTCAGACGTGGATATCAGTAGGACAGAGTGAAATTCAGGAGGAACACACACACAAATATACACTCACACGGGCAATAACTGTCTATAAAGATGCCATGAATTTCGTAGGATGGCTGAGTGTCGGCATGCCAAGAAGTGAGCACACATCCCGCCCCACAGGGAGTGGTTCAGATGGGCCACAGACCTGAATGTGGAACAAACTCACAAAGGAGACCTTGTGGCTGTGGGTTTGGCAACTATTTTTCCTAACTCTGACACGAAAGCACAGCCTAGAAAACAGCAACTGGTGAGTGACACTTCATCAAAATGAAGAAATGTCTCTGAGAGACACAAGGAGACTGAGGGATCTGCCACCAACTGGGAGTGCGAGCGAGTTGCACAGCTGCCCTAGGAGCTTAAGCGCAGGAGAGATTAGACACAATGAGAAACACCCAGGACAGCTTCTGCGGTCTCATGCAGTCTCAGAGGCCACATGCTGAAGTAGGGCCTGTGACAGAAGACACCCATTCCCAACCTTTGTCTGCCCCAACACATGTCAGCCGTGTGCCGTGGACACTGCTTGCTCACAAACATAGCTGCCTCTATCTCCCCTTTGCCAGCTGTGTGAAAACTCACCCTCAGAATCACCAAATGCCATGAAGGGACAAAGCTCCTTGGGTAGGGCCGCTGAGCTATGCCTTCTAGGTGATGCCATGTGCAGACAGTGTGAGAACCCTGGCCACGTGGCCCCTCCTGGCTGTCCCCATGTTCCTGCCCCACACATCCCCATGTTCCTGCCCACGTCCCCACATGCTGCACTCACCCATCCTCCCACGGCTCCCCTGCAGCCTCCTCGGCCACCAGGATGTCGTACTCCTCAGCAGCATACTTCTCCCAGTCTGACAGCTCTGGGCCATCGCAGTCACTCTCCTGGAGGACACATTCACTGTTATGTGGCATGGCCCAGGTGGTGTGGCCCTGGCAGCCTGCACTCCCAGTGCACTCACCCTGAGCAGGGAGCCCTGCTCTCTCTGCTCGTGATCCAGGTACTTCTCAACATTGAAGAAGGTGTCAAAGAAGACGTGGGCGAGCCTACAGCGCTTCAGGTCGCTCAGTGTGATCTTCCCTGCAGGCGGGAGAGGGGATTGTCTGTGTCAGAGGGGGTGACCGTGAGAGTCTGCCCCCTAGGAGCTGCTATGGGTGGTGGCAGTTGATGAAGGAAGCAGCAGGATGCTGTGTGCTCCACACCGCCAGACTCATACGTAGAGGACACACGATAAGAGGCACCCTTGGGAGGCATCGCATGGAGGAACCTGGGGCTGAGGGGCATAAGTGAGCCAGGACTGGACGGTGCCGCAGGCCACCGGGGGCATCCCTGGACCTGAAACGACAGGGACCTGCTCCCCTCCAGCCCAGGGCCATGTGCAGCCCAGGGCACAATATGTAGGAGAAAACTCAGTTGTGGAGCAAAGGGGCCTGTGTCCTCAGAACAAGGATAACCCCCCAGACCTGGATTCTAAAACACATAGCACAAAACTAACTAAGGTGGCAGATAGGGACAATGTCCACCCCCATGGGGAGTGCTTTGGGAGAGTGTCCCCTGGGGGGAGAGGGTTTACGGGAAGAATCCCCTGTCCTATGGGGAATGTGTTTATGGGCAGTCCCCCCCATCCCTCTGACCTGAGAGGGACCCAGGGAACAGATGGGGCTGGGAGGCCTGTACTGGGTCAATACTAATTCCGCAACAGTCCCTGAGCTTCATGCTGTCACCACAGTGTTCCCCACCATGAGGACATGTGCTTCCTGCCCTAGGCTTCCATTCTCAGGGACACCAGAGGTCACCACAGGTGGTGCTGCTGTCACCCTAGGAAGCCACAGACCCCTGTGGTATGGCCTCATCCCAAACATGCTGGGGATAGCCCTGCCTATGCGTCCCCACACTAGGATATCACCACCTGTGGGGTGACCCCTGCACCAGTGACATGCCTCACAAGGGGGTGTACCCTCACACTGCTGTGTTCCCTCACCCAGATGTCCCCTCACATGGGGCTGTCCCCTCCCTGGGCTGCTACCTTCACTCTGTGGCTGTACCAGGTCCAGCATCTGGCAGAGGCAGTCCTCGAAGGGCAGGGCCTCAATGGCCATGCTGTCCAGCCTACGGCACTGCTCCTCGTAGAAGTACTCAAGCTCGAACATGGACAGCGCCCCGTCCCCGTCCAGGTCCATGCAGCGGAACCAGTACTCAATGCTGTAGCCACATGAGCCACAGTCAGCTACAAGCCGGGACACCTGCCCCACAGGGACCCACCCTGTGGAGATCTGCCAGGGATAGTCCCTTCAAGCCTGCCGACCTGGGGCAGCTCTGGGGACACAGCTCTGACTCTTCTACCAAATACCTACCTGGTTGGAGTTTTCTTGTCTTCTTCAGAGATCAGAAACCAGACGAAGTCAGCGTAGCTTATTTTTCCTTCTTTCTGAACTTTTCTACCTCTTGGTTCAGGGCCAGAATAGAGAGACAAAGACATCCATCAGGGAGAGGGTGCACACAGGGGGCAGGCAAGGGGCCCACCTTGCCCATAGCACCTGGGCCAGAGCAGTCTTGGTCAGGCCCTGGTCCTCATGGGAGGGGCCTGAAGGCTGTGTGTCCCGTGAGGAGGACCCAGGTCCCATGGGCTCAGAAGCAGCCACCCTCCCCAGGTTACTCTGAAGCCCAGTGCCTGGCACGGACACCAACAGGGCCTGTGCTGTCCCCTCAGTAGGGACCTCTGCAACAAGGGTCTGTGTCCCCTCACTCAAGACCTCCCATGACAGCTCAAGCATACCCTCACTCAGGACCTCCTGTGACAGTTGTCATGGTCAGAACAGGGCAAGCTCACAGCAGAGAGAACTCAGACTTCTCTCTTGGGGTTGTCCCTTGAAAATAGGAGGTGACTGGACAGCCCTGGCCACACGTACCGGGTCACCGCTCCAGAGAAGATCCTGTCGACCATCCTGGAGGAGATGGCTGCAGAGAAGAAGGGGCTGTGAGCAGTGGCATGGTGGCCCACTGCACCTCTCGGAGTAGAGCCCTATGGGGGGCTGACAAGAGCAGAGGCCATGGCTAGGAGGCCTCTGGACAGGCACTGTGCGAGCCCCGTGTACTCACCGCATGTTCCCAGGTGGAACCGGACCCAGGTCAGACCCCACTGAAGCTGACGGGCCCAGACAGATCTGTGGGGAGCCGAACAAGCACGGCTCTCAGGGCCACCTGCTGTCACCCCAAACGCCACTACAGAAACCAGTGCCTTCCAACCAGGACCCTACTGAAACCCATGAGAGTGGACAGTATGGTCTCCCCCGTGAGGAAGGGCACAGCATGGAGTTTAAAGCCACAGGGATTCATTCATCCTCTACGCCCTGGAGGCTGAAGTCTGAGATCCAGGTGACTCAGGCTGGTCGCTCCTGAGTCCTCTCTCCTTGGCATGTAGACGCCGTCTTTTCCCTGTGTCTTCATGTGGTCGTCCTACTGAGTGTGTCTGGGACACCAGACTTGTTCAATCAGGGCCCACCCTAGTGATGTCATCTTACCTCAATCACCTCTGTAAAGACCTGTCTCAAAACACAGTAGCAGTCTCAGGTCTTGGGGTTAGGGCTTCACAATGGGCATTATGTGGGGTCTCAATTCAGCCCATAGTAAACACTATACCCATGAGATGGGCACATGAACTTGAGAGGTCTCTCTCCCTATCCCCAAATCCATTCTGCCTTCACTAGAGCCTCCCTGATGTGAAATGACAAGATGGGGTTATAGGCTAAACTGTGCTCCCCAGAAAAGCTATCTATGTCCACACCCTGACCCTGGTACTTGGGAGCAGAACCTCATTTGGAAATAGGATCTTGCAGTGACATTACCCTAGATTATCTAGGGGCCCTCCTAGCAGAGGAGACACAGAGGAGAAGCCAGTGGAGATGGAGGCAGACAATGGAGTGATGTGTCCATAAGGCCAGGGACGCCTGGATCCCCCAGGAGCTGGAAGTGGCAGGAAGAAGCCTCCCCTGGGGCACGTGGAGTGCGCCCCTGAGACACCTGCACCTCAGACTCCTGGGCTAGAGGGCAGGTGAGGGTGTGTTCTCTGTTGCTGAAACCTCCATTTATACTTGTCAGCTTTGGGAGCCCCATGGAGCCAGGAGAGCTGACTGAGCCCTCCCTAGTCTAGTAGCACTTGGGAACGAGAACGTGGTGCATGCATCATGGGAGCTGGATGCCACAGGGCCTGGTGTGCCACAGCACCCCTTGTCTTAGTGTCACAGGGATGACCCTGCTGTCATGCACTCTGGGAAGCCCTGCTAGTTTCTCAGGAAGAGAAGAAAAGTAGCCCATGGTGGGAGGGGTGCATCAAAGCCCCCTCACAAACAAGTGACGTGGATTGTTCCAGAAGCCTCTGACTGTGGCTAGTCCTGTCTTAGTGACCAAGATTGGTGCCCATGTTTACTAGTGTCCAGGGGACATGTCATACTCTGTGACAAACAGCCCCACAAGCGGCCCTAATGTGATAAAGGAGCGGACTCTATAGGGGCTTGCGGGGACATGAAGGTGGCACCAGCCTGGGGGCTTCACAGGGGCTGTGGCCCCAGTTCCAGGAGATCCCAGTTGGCCCAGGGCAGTGGTCTCCTCCCACACAGGACAGCCTGGGGCCATCTCTGCTGAGCCCAGTGCATACACTCACAGGGCTCATGTGTGTGGAACCCTGTGGTCAAGGTCAGATGTGGACAGGAGACATTTAGAGTTCAGAAACACTCTTGTGAACATGGGTTTAAAAAAATAGCAAAAAATGCAGATTAAGGTGAATTCTTTAGAAAGCCACGAATTCGCACACACATTCACTTCTTAGTTGGTTTCATGCACCTTGACACTGGGCTTCTCATACGGGGAGGCAGTAGCCTGTTCCACAGACAGTTGTAAACATTCAGTTTATGAGCGTTTGAGCTGTAGGAAACCGCCAAGCGTTCAGGGCCCCTTTCTCAGGAGGGGACTGAGTTAAAGTCCCCACAGCCTAAGGCTGGGACAAATGCCTGCTGGGGACTGTGTTTAAAAGCTGGGGATGTGCGGAGATGAGATGCCACATTGCATGAGGCTACGCGGGGTTCTAAAGCTCTGAGCTGAAGCCAGTCCCGTAGCCCTGCCGGGTCTCAGACCAGCGGTCTCAGGCTCGTGGCCTGCCTTGCTTCTGCCTCAGAATAACTTCCTCCATGCACACACAGTGTCATGACACAAAAATGGGGTGGGATGGGGAGAGGTGGAGGAGGCTGAGATAGGAACACGGTTATGGCCACACGCTTTCCCCTGCCCCGTGCTCACCCTGCCTCATGCTCACACCACCCCACGCACTCACCATGATCGTTGTGTCGGGCCAGGTCCTGTGCGTCAATAAGCAGGTCATGGTCTGTGTCCAGCTCCCAAAACTTGCAGTAGATGACATAGAAGTGCTCGTATGAGAAGTACTCAGTCAGCTGATTGATGTCTGCTTCCTCCTCCAGGAGTGCCACATTCTGCCAACAAGACCCGAAGGCACTGCCATAGACAGCCTCTGTGGGCCCCTGTGGTGGGACAGACCCCAGCAGGCCTGCCCCCACTCCACTCCGCCCACCTGCATGCCCTCTGTCTGCACCCCGCCCCTCCCTACCCACCTGCAGGAAGCTGCTCCTCCGGAGCTCAGCACAGGTGATTCTCCCTGACCAGGACCTGTTGACGGTGTAGAAGATCCTCTGGATGACCTGTGGGAGGGCTGTGTAAGCAGCTGTGGGGTAGATGGGTGGGTGGAGGGGGCCCCCCACTGCAGGACCCCCATGCCAACAAAGGACGCCGGTGGGCAGGGGGCTGGAGTCACAGAGCAGCCACCTGCAGACTGGATGGAAGCCTGGCTTTGGGGCTGCAGTGGGCCAAGCTCTGGGAAAGACTGTCGGCCTGAGAGTCAGCCTGACTGCGGTGCTCAGCTGGATCCAGGGACCCCGCTCAGCTTTCTGAAGAGGAGGTGGGTCCTGCCCTGGGTTCCATAAATCTGACAACAAACCACTGATGGCTCTAGAAACCCCAGGCCACAGCAAGGGCTGAGCATGAACCCTGGCCTACGAATTAATCCTCTGACCCAGAGATGCGACTGCTAAGAGGAACTTTGTGGTCCTAACTCGGTGCCCGCTAACATGGCAGGGCCTCAAACTGGGCCTGGACCTTGCATAAGGCCCCCAGCAGGGTCCCTGCAGGTCACTTGGCAGGGCAGTCTGTCTTGACAGAGTGCCCACCAGAGGCAGGACCTGTGCTATACATGTCACACTCAGATGTGGCAGGAAAACCTGCCAACAGGGTGAGTGAATGTGTCCTCATGAAGCAAAAGGGTCTTCTCTGTGTGAGCAACCAAAAGCCAGTCCTTCCTACTCAAGGGAAGGGCAGCACACTTTGCCGCCACTCAGACGTCACCTGCCCCAACCTGCCTGATGGTCTGAGTGCCGGACATGGGGCCACAAGGACTGCTGACCCCCATAGGGCTTCTGCCTTACAGACCCCAAAGAGATGACTCCTTTGCACTTAGTGCTCACCAAAGCCCCAAAACATAGGAAATGACAACAACTCCACTCACAGACCAGGAGCACAAAGTCTGGGAGGCCCAAAGAACCTATGGGCAAGGCTCTGCAGTGTTGGGATAGCTGGGGTATAAAGCAGGGACTTTGCAGTGACAGGAGAGCAGGGACCGCAGAGTGGGGGCTTTGCAGAGATGGGACAGCGGGAGCTCTGCAGTAATGGGCCAGATGGGGCAAGGACCAGGATGGGACAGCTGGAGCACAGAGCCAAGATGAGGAGAGAGCACCCCTTTCAAAGCTGCTGCATGTGGGGAGCTTGGGGCACTCACTGTGGTGATGTAGCGAGAGTGGAACTCAGATGCCTCCTTTAGGAAGGACAGGCCTGGGTGGGTGTTCACTACATCCTGTGGGCAGAGGATACAGAGCTTTAGGGGCAGACTCTGCACTCACCTAGCCAGGCAACACCTGCAGTCACCAGGGGAAGGTAGGCTCTGTTCCATGAGACCTCACAGTGATCAGTGGGGCCACCCTGAGGCAGGAGATGCAGGCCTCACCTGTGAGGAGGAGGGGGTTGTGTGGTGTAGACACAGCCCCACCTGTGAGGAGGGGTGTGTATGGTGTAGACACAGCCCCACCTGTGAGGAGGGGTGTGTATGGTGTAGACACAGCCTCACCTGCAGGAAGGGGACGAAGTCCTCCTGCACCAGGTAGTTGCAACCAGGGTTCATGAGCAGATGGGTGAACTTGGCTGCGTCATCGTGACAATTCTGGAGGATTCTGGAATGACATGGAGAATCTGATGCTCCCCACACGGGTGTCCACATAGCCCTGCCCTGATGTGGGTGTGCAGGGACAGGCCTGCACAGCAAGGCCAATGAGCATACTGATGTCTCAGCAGTAACGTGCCTGCAGTGCAAGTGTCCTCTCCCATGTGGCAGCTGCACAGGTGAGCCCTGGACAGGCAGCCCTCAGCACTATGAGGACGGGACCTCTCCTCTCCTGACTCCCGCTTCCCTGGCCCAGCCTGGCTCCCAGACTCACTTTCTCCACATGGCGACGAACTTGTGAACAGACACAGAGCCTGTGCGCTCTCCACCAGCGCCGCAGAACAGTGGTGCCTTCCAATACAACGGGCAGCCGCAGGCCTGCAGCACAGAGGCAGGGGTGGGCGTGAGGGACCTGGGCACCTGCAGGCCTGCAGCACAGAGGGCAGGAGTGGATGTGAGGGACCTGGGCAGAGGCAAGAGTGAGGAACCTGGGCACCCATAGGCCTGTAGCACAGAGGGCAGGGGCAGGCATGAGGGACCGGGGCACCCATAGGCCTACAGCACAGAGGGCAGGGGCAGGCATGAGGGACCGGGGCACCCATAGGCCTACAGCACAGAGGGCAGGGGTAGATGTGAGGGACCTAGGGACCTGGGCACCCGTAAGCCTGCAGCACAGAGGGCAGGAGTGGATATGAGGGACCTGGACACCTGCAGGCCTGCAGCACACAGGGCAGGAGTGGATGTGAGGGACCTGGGCACCC